TGGCTAGCTGGAGTTAAACTACGACTGCATGGTAAAAGCATAACAAAACCCAACCCCTCTCCCAATTATTATGAGAATTAAGCCTAGAATTTTTAATTTTAAACATTCACAAACTATGAAGAATTTTTACCAGCATGTTACATAACCAAGGGAAAGGCAAGGGCGTTATTAGAGCTTCTGGTGTACCTCTGCGCCCAACGCTCTGCTGAACATGTGCTGCATTAGCAAAAACCCCATCCCCACAGTGCTTCCACCCTCTCCAAACCCCTCATTCATCTCGACTCAAAACCCAGGCAGCCCAGCTCACACCACTCTTGGCAGTTCTACGTTCTCCAGTGTCATTTTATTTGGTGCTTAAACAAGCAAGAAGCACACCAACATAGAAAACGGGGCAGATGATGGTACTAGACAAACTAGATCCTATTTCACTTGGATCTCATCGTATTGCAGAGTCCAAGGCAGGCAATATGTTTATCTGCTTTATTATAAAATTATGTTCCACTCTTTAAATCGAAGAGAAACTCATGCCAAGTTTCCACTATCTACAGATCTACAGCAAATAAAGCAGAAAAAGCAAAAAATGCTGTGCTATTTACTAGCACTTCATATCCTCCCACAGAAAAAATAAAGATTTAGACATATTCACAGTTCAAAAGTGATTCCAGCTCTCAAGCACAATGGAAACATCTGTTAGTACAAATGACTGTTCGTCTATAGTTTGTCAGCTATTTCCAAAGTTTTCCTGGAAGAGTTTAACCGCAATCCATAAGTAATCTGTTAGCAATCGATCCATAAGTAAAAATGTGTCGCAGCGCCATTTACTATCTACGGTTGCGGGCAATCACTGGAGTGCTTTCAAAACACGTAAGGGAATGTCACAGTGACATGCTGCCTGAATATTTATACTGAGTGCCCAGAAAAAAGCCAAGCAAATTAAAGAATTCAAGCAAAGAGAATTACAGCTCAATTGACTACAAAGCAAAACTTCTCCTACAGGGAAAGGCAGTAGTATTTAGGAATGCTTCTCCTCAGAGCCTGAAAAGCCATGAATTGATTTATGCAAGAATCACGTTCAAGGCTACCAGTAGTTATTTGCTAGAGATTTCTAAGACAATTCTATCTAACGTACTGTATTTCAATGTCCTATAAACATTTTTTTTACACCAAAAAGAAATAAAACCAAGCCAAAAATGGTAAAGATAGCTTTAGGGTTTTTTTAAATTAGGAGGGACAGCTAGAACACAAGCTCAGAAACCTGCAGTTAAACAGCTCCAGACACCTAGGAGAGCTGAATTCTCTTACTAATGCCGTGCAAGAAAAATCGGATCTTTTTTATTGACTTAAAACAGGTTTTATTGTGAGTCATAACAGAAGCTGCCAAGTGAACTACAGACTTCTTTAAAAATATGAATCGATGAAGCGTCTTCAAACCCAGTGGTCTCCAAACAGCATTATTATATTTGTATTTAAGATTACAAAAAGAACTTGCTCCAGAGAGTTCTGCAGCGGGGTGAGGAGCTTTACAGTTAAATCAATTTAACTGAATGTTAAGAGAACACGAATATAGAAATGGCAAGCCGACAAATGGAGCGATAGGCAAGTCACATGAAGGGCTGCCCAAAGACCCTGCCCTGCAGTGCATCCGAGAAAAACAGAACTGCTCTGTGCAGCAGCAAGAATTTCAGCATTATGCTGCTGGGGAAGGAGGAGAATAAGGTGTTAAGGAAAAGTTAAGTTTTATCCTGGTACAATCATTTTCATTAACAGCAGATTTCCTGGAATTAGAGTTATTAAAATCCAGCATAACCTGCAGCAGAGAGCACGGAGCACAGCTTGGTTTCCCTAGACACTGCTGGACTGATCCCGTCCACACGGCAGCGATACCAGCATCAAACATCCCTTGCCCCCCAGGATCTCAAACAGCTTCCTCCAGAAGGCAGAGCTGCCCAGGCACTTCTCACACTCAGCTTTCAACACCGTTACCCAGCAGCAGTTGAAGAACAGAGTGTTTTTAAGAAGTCTGAAGTCTTAAGGGGGTTTTAAAATAAAGGCTCAACTTTCTAGTCAGAGACCTGGCACTCCTAGAACTTGATCTGGAGCTCCCTCCTGAGGTCAGATCCTACACTGTATTAAAGACAATGCTATATCTTTTTAACTGATTCTGCTCAAAATGAGAGTATGTCCTTACAAAAGAGAGATTGTCAGGCACCTCCTCAAACCTCTGGACATGCCCTCGTAGAGAGCATTTGATGCTTCTGAGTTACCAGCACTGCAGTCTTAAAAAGACCGGTGAGAAGATAAGCACAAGCTAAACACAGAAAGATAAACTGAAGAGGCACTTTCCTCACACACCTTTGGCAGCCAGCTCAGCAGCAGCACAGGCAGTAAAACCGCTGTTACAGTGATTCAGGAAAGGGAACAGTACACCCCAACGACGAGAAACTAAGTGCTAGCTATCTGTAAAGAAACTGCAGCTTCACTTGATTTATTTACGGCTGTTAACATGTCCCACTCTTTGGGTGACCTTTCGGCTACTCTGTGCTAAAGCCACCTTGTTCCACAAAACCTGACGGCGTTACTCCATCGACTTTGCCACAAGCTGCTACGTGGACCGACACCTCCGGTCTTGGACGTGCTGAACTGGTGTTTGCCAAAGGTCAGAAAACTCTTCAAACAGGTTTTGCTGAACTTTCACTCTGGTCTCTTAGGGGAACACAGCGTTTTTCCACGAGCCCTAGAGGGTCCCCACATGGAAGAAGTTTTCATCACAGATGAAAGGTTCGAAATCAGATGGCCAAGGACGTCTTTGGAAGCAGTGCAAGAGCCAAGAGAACAACCCTTGCCTACAATGGTCCAGTTTTACTACTGCTGAGCCCTCACTCAGCCCTTTCCTCGGCCCCTGAGCAAACATCCACACTGGCCAGCCGAGTCATCCATGCCCACCTCTGCCTCAATGCTGTCGAGCCCACCCACCCAGCGGGAAGGGATTGCTATGAGAATCCACAGTTGAGAACAGGTTCTTTTTCTTCTAGTCCCACTTTTCCAAGGAGGCTCTCCCTACCATCTCTTTAATCAAAGAAACATTTTTTACCCCTTTCCAGCTCGAGCTGTGAGGTCTTCCCCACACTATCAGGGATTGGACACACATCATTTTAAATCTTACAGCCTGTGACAAGGCTTGTAGTTTTAGTAAGCTTTTCTGTTTCATGGTGGAACAGATTTCCACTTGAATGTCTCAGAACAACAACAGTTTATTCAGTTGTCCTTATGGAGTGAAGTGACACTACAGAAACAGCCAAGTTTACAGAGATGCTGGCTCCTCCCACCACCAGCCTTGATGTACTTGGAGCATGTAAGATCCCTGCATTTCATAAAGGCAGCCCTTTATCTGATGCATCAGTTCTGAAACAGACTTGCTGTTTCCAGATGCCAGGTTACAGCCAAATCACCTTCTAAAGCATCCAAAATGTTGGGATTAATCCTTTGCTAGCATCTCCCTCTTCTATATTCTGTCCCCCTCTACATTCTGTGAAAAAGACAAAACAGACAAAAACTGTCCAATAGGCTCCCCCCATACTAGGTAGAACCAGATCCTGTTAGATCAGCACAGAAACTTGTGGAAATGGGGCACATCAGCTGTACCAAGTGCAAGACTAAAAAGGATGGCTTGAAACTTGGACCTAGAAAGGGTGTCTCTGCTGACAGAGGGCAGCAGCCTAAGAGTTCTAGCTCCCTACAGCCAAAAGACATCACAACAAGCTTCCCAAAATACCGAAGCAGGTTGAGAATACGTATCACAGCCCGCATTAGGCACCAAGTAATTTTCTAGAAGTTAAAGTTTTCTTACGTTTCATGGTGCCCTCCTCCTCTTCCTCTTCGGTGTTTATGACCATTGTACCCAGCTGGGATTCCAAGGTATCATCATGTTCTATCATTGTGTTGGCTCCATCACTCATCGTGTTGACAGCTCTTATGGTACCAGTTTCATCTCCACTCGCCCTCACCATGGTACCTGAATCGGTTTCATCTTCTTCCTGTACAAGGATGCCATAAACACACTTTTACCGATGGGGCCAAGTCCCATGAAGAATGTCTGAATTCAAGGACACCGGCAAGTCTTACTAATGCAGAAATGTTTACAGATACACAGAGAAGCGACATTTTGGTTTATGCACTTAGTTCTCCCCCTGTCATCTCCAACAGGTCATGAAAAGCCTGCATACTCTTCTGCCACCACGATAAAGAAAGAAGAGATAAATAATCAGCAGAAGTTCCTCAATGCAAGTTGTATCTCAGTGACCCGTCTGTAAGGGTAGGTGACAGTACTCAGTCAGTCATTAGCGTTTCTATTCATGCTGCCAGTGTTCATAGCTGACCTAACCCCCCTATCTCAAGGGGTACAGTCCACTGAGGAGTCATTATTAGACAGCAACAGGTCTAAGGCTGGAGTGCATGTGGCACACTGAGAAAAAAAGTGATCATCCTATTTGTTATGAGTCTGTCTAACATTTACGTTGTTTTACTTGCTATAAACTTCAGAAGCACCGAAGAAAAATGAACTGAATTTGCAAATCCTTAAAAAGGAATGAAGTTATCAAAGTCTAGTCCTTTTTTTCAGATAAAAATTACTTCTTATCTCTCCATTTATTAGTAGGTGTTACCATTACCAAGGTTTTGAGTTACTGCTGTCAAGGCTCAAGAGACTGACTGTAGGAAAACACAAGCTCCTGAAACAAATTCTGGCAGGACAACTTCCGGGCAGACGGTTATGTCAGCCAGAGGCAGGAGCTGCACTAGGTGGTGTGTGCTTCACCAAGTCTGTATAGTGACTAGGATTTAATGAATAAGGTCAACATTTCCACAATCTATTTAGTTTCTTGGAAATGCAGGCGACGTATCCATGCTCCTGTTTTGTTGTAAGGATGAAGTTCACAGTTCTTTATGCGTGGCCACACGCCTACTGATCTGTATTAGTGCTAGAGGGAAAGCACAGGTCTGGCACGTCAAGCTGTAATACTCCATCTCAGTGTCACTGAGAGAAAGAAGTACATCCCTCTGCATTCTGATGTTCCATACATTTTACCTGCTCTATCAGCGGTGTCTATATAATTTACTTCCCAACCTCCAAACCAATAGCAAGAGGAGGAGAAAACTACATGAGATGTTAAAGGAGGAAAAGTAATTTTATGTGGAGATGAGTGGGTGAGAGGAAGCAATAAATTCGTCAGCTACACATCATTTAACAAAGGACTACAGCAGTAGTTTCCACAGCACTTGGGAACACTTTTCTGCTAGCAGACAGAGAAGAGAAGCTTCAGAAAAACACACACACTGACGGAGACCACTCAACTCCACTACACAGACACCATCTCTCAGCAGTGGGACTGCAGATCAGTCAGAAACGAAGGAGAGAGGGTAAGGACAACACTCTTAGAGTCAACATCATGGCAACGTGACCAATAAGGTCACTTTCACACTGAATAAACAGCCGGTCCTAAACTGGAAAACTAGAACGATGCCTTCAGCATAGACAGTGCAGACCATGCTGTTCAAGCCTAACCTCTGCAACGGACTCTGGCATACAATGCCTTTTGTTGCCCATTTCATTTCTTCAGGTTGAAGCAGTCAGAGGCTCAAAAAAACCAGCTTTCAACATGCTTTCCATATGTACATGCTGTAACCACTGAAACCAGGAACTTAAATTCACAGCAATCCCCTGAACACTTGCCATGGCCTCACCTCAGGCTTCTGTCGCTTGCTCTTGTGTAGCAGAAAGTTTCTATAAGGGAGGTTCTAAAGCACAACAACAGCAAAACAACAGAACATACTTATATCAAGTGCATCGCAGAGGATACTATTATTTTATTACTAGGAGAGCAGCCTAAGACACGAATCTACAATAAAAATTTCTCAGTGCTGCATAAATAATATAATCCAACTTGGAAAACGTATCAAGTCTTTTGCATACACTGCTTTGTAGACCTGTTCAATCACAGGTCTCTAGCTACACCCTAAGCTAAATAGGAAGCCATACATGCTGGCTATCCCACACAGAAATGTTGAGCAGAGACCAAGCATTAGTTTAAGCAGTCATGAAGTAGAAAACTCAAGAACTAAGTCAAATCCACCAATCCACTAACTCAAATTGGACCAACTATCGCAAAACCAAAGAAGCTAAGCCTTATGGAAGGAGCTAGAGGTTGGATTTTGTACCCTGTTGTTATTAAATACTCACTGAATTTTCTTCATCCTCCTGATCTAGTTCACGCTGTTGAGCCTCCTGACGTTTCAGCTTGATATCCATTGCTTCATTAATCAAGTCTCGCAGGATTGACACTCCTTTGGCACTTTTAACAAATGGATGCTGAGAAGTATTTAAAGAAATAAATAAGCACCACATCCAACCCAAAATCTAACAGTAAAACACTGTTACTACGGCCTACTTTCAATCAAAATTAAGGTTTAGCTCAATATATTACTAAAATAAAAAGACGATACTTCTGTTTGGCACAGGAGAGACCTCCCGCCCTGCAAACAAGCTCATGCTCCAAAGGCACTGCCGCCATGAGACCTTGGGCTCCTTCCCCTCCCACAACTCTACTTACTTCTTTCCTTGGCAGCTTAGCTGTCGAGAACCAATTACACGGATCATCACCATGCCCAGACCATTCCCAGCTATCACTTTCATTCAGTCTCCCCTTTTTAGTGTTTTAAGAGGCGTTTTCTTGGCAGCGCTGGTGAGAATTTGAAAGTTAACCCCCCACATCCCAAACTCCAAAAGCCAAACATACAAAAAAACAACCCCGAGCAGACAAAGGCAGGAAGGTGAAGTTTGACAGGTTCTTAGAGAAGAACTGAAAAGTTGAAGTTGAGCGTAAGATGTTTAAAATGAGATCGTAGAGGGTAAACTTTGCAGCGAGCGGGAGCAGGAAGAAATGAATCTCAGGAGCAGCACTGCCTGCCCTGGCAAGCCTTCTCTAGAGCTTATGTTCTGGTAAGAAAAGGCAGACCTGCAGCAGCTGTGTTGCAGTGGCACGCTGCTCCGGGCTCTTAACAAGACACTGTTTTACAAAGTCCGTGAAATTGTCTGACCAGAGCTCTGGTTTCCGGAATGTTGGCGGTGGATTGGTGGGAATCATGAAAATTGCCTGAAAACAGAAGAATATTCCGTATTTCAAAGAAAAGCATAAAGTTTTCCAACAATACAGCATCAATAGCATAGGAAGCACTGGGACAGGTTGCCCAGAGAAGCTGTGGATGCCCCATCCCTGGAAGTGTTCAAGGCCAGGCTGGATGAGGCTTGGAGCAACCTGGTTTAGTGGAAGGTGTCCCTGCCCATGGCAGGGGGGTTGGAACTAGTTGATCTTTAAGGTCCCTTCCAACCCAAACCATTCTACGATTCTTAACAAAAAAAAAAAAAAACCCACACACAAACATACATTGGTACCAAAGAACAATGCAGATTTCAAGTTTGAGGCTTCTGAAGACTTTTGTGCTGATGTTAAACAAATTTTCTCCAACGGATGAAGTAGCAAGAAGTCAAACTTTTCTCACAAGGTGCTTACACACCTCGTCTGAGCCATGACATGCCCCAAACGGTGTGAATCTGCCATTTTTAACCCTCAGAAATTTGTGTTTGCATAAAACAAAAATACGTTTGGATAATACAGCTGAAAATATGCTTCTTCACACCCAAGGCAGGGAGCTGCAGCTGTACCTTAACAGAATAGGACTGCAGTTTTCCTTCCCTTGCAGATACTCCTTCTCAAAGATCTGTTTTCCATTCACTCAACAGTACAAAGAACTTGACGGAAAAGGAATAATTTACTCCGAATTAAAAGCAAGGTGTCATGTTGATTCAGTCAGTTGTAACAGCAAAACCTTTCCACACAGTAATGTATTTTAGTCCTTACCCTCATGGGGTGAATATCTGCATACGGTGGTTTGCCCTCAGCCATTTCTATTGCCGTGATTCCCAGGGACCAGATGTCTGCAACACAATTATACCCGATTTCTTGGATCACTTCTGGAGCCATCCAAAATGGGGTCCCTATAACTGTGTTCCGCTTTGCCATGGTGTCCTGAGATGAAGAGTAGGATAAAGATCCAGACAATGGCAATTAGCCACAAACGTTCATTAATGAATTATCACCCTAATTATCTTCCACTCGCGGGCACACACACTGTTAGACTCAGCAAGACTGGGATACGGCGGGCTGCAAAAGGAATTGGAAACTGCTTACAAAAGTTATGGATGTCTTGAAGGAAACAGCAAATTCTATTGGAAACCATTACTTAGGTGTAACAGCTTCCACAGAGGAAGCTCTGCTCTCATCTGCTGCTGGTTTAGCACCTCGTTATGTTGATGTAAAGCGCTAAAAACCAGCTTAGAACAATTTCTCCACAAGCACATCATACTCGCACGCAGATTGAAAATACAAACTGAAGCGTACACAACCATCGTGGGTTTACTTACTGTAAGTTGTCCTGCCACTCCGAAATCTGCAAGTTTAGCATGGCCCTCTGTATTTAGCAATATATTTCCAGCTTTGATGTCCCTGTGTATTTTCCTCATAAAATGCAGGTACTCTAGGCCTTTCAGCGTTGATTGTACTATTGTAGCAATTTCCTCCTCTGTGAGCTACAGAAAAGAAGAGTTAGGGCCAACCTATCAGTTGCTGAGATGTGTTTCAGTCTATGTTTTCTTGAGATTCACTAATTGCTATTTAATTGCCTTCACTAACCGTTGCCGTAATAATGGGAAATCAGTGAATTAGAGCATTGTGAAGTAGAACTAAATTACAACCAGCACATGTATATATATATACACACACATATATCATATTTCACATACCATAACCCCTTCTCAACTAGTCATTCTTATCCTGCAATCACCGAAGCAAGGCAGAGTAGAGTCTGTTATTCAGAATCGGCCCGGGTTTTCAGGAAAGCCAACAAACCAAAACCTGTTCCGCGTTACCCAGATCGCTGATTACGCGATAGCGTTCTGGTTTTCTCATTTTCAGAGGAACAAAGGACCTGCATCTCAAGTTATGGCCAATGGTTGTGTCAGGCATTGAACGCCGTGAGGATCACGCCCAAACTACGCAGCTGCCTTGGGCTGCTGGACACCCACGTTTCCCATTCACACGTTAAAGGAGAAAGGACATACCGTCTTATTTCGTAATCGAATAATATCAGACACAGATCCAGCGCCGCAGTATTCCATGACTATCCACAGGTCTGTGTTCTTAAAATAGCTGCCGTAATATTTCACGACATGAGGACTGTGGCATGTGAAAAAAGCAGAAGAAAACAGAAGGTCAAACACCAGTAACGAGCATAACTGAGTCAGCGCAATACACTGCAGAGTCCCCAGGTATGTTTTAGAAATTCAGAGCTGAAGTGGCCCCGAAATCCTGATGAAAAGCATTCCTAAACAGTCTGAACTCGCACAGGGCTACTGCAGCCCTGCCAAGCCTCTTCCCCACAGCCGTGCTCATCTGACCTGCCACTACGTCAGTTCACGGAGCTAAACCATCTGGCAACAAATCCTACAGAAATAAGGTGCGTTTAGGCCTCAGTCTGGTTTAGCTCTCTGAACTGGATTACAACAAGGTCAGTGCTGTGGCAAGCAAGAAGGCAGGGCAAGGGAATGAGAAACGCACCACTGCAGTCCCTGGGAAAGCTGCTGCAGAGCATTTGCAACCAAATGGAAACATTAAATAAGGTCCAGAGTGTGCTGGGAAAAAGCTACCCTGTTCCTTAAGAGGAATGTTCCTCCACTACCACATGCGCTTACTCGTTTCTATGATTTATTCCAGGCTGTATTTTAGGAATCCAGTACGACCTAAGACTGTCTCTCACAGTTACCTGGCTGCCCAAATTGCACACAGCCTCGTAAAGCGTGTTGATCCCTAACCCTAACCCAACCATCTGTCCTCTGGAAAAGGTAAAGCAGAAAACTAACAGGAAGACTGTTCCCAATTTTGTGGGAATGGAGCTAAGGAACAAAAGCGCGTTTAATCTATTCTCTGCTGAATATTCTCTAATGAAAACGTGTAAAACTAGCACAGCAAAGTCAGTCACGCCGCAGTGTCCCTCAGTGCTTGCCCAGGAAACGTGATGCTCCACTGATCTGCTCCCTCTGCTGTTCACAACTGTGAGGTCTCCCTTTAAGCCTTACAAAGTTAATATTTGTTTTAAGAAAGAGACACCTGGTAATGCTTTCCCAGTTACACAGGATGATTTTTCACAAACTCTTTTCCAATGACATGTGGTTGTCTGCCACCACTCACCCTCTTTTAAACATAGGGAGAGTGAAGTGCAATAGAATAAGTGACCGGGACCATAGTTTTATATCGATAAGTTATTTCAAATATTTTTCCATGCCTGGAGTACATCAAGGTACTGTTTCTTAAGGCTAGATTCATACCACCACAAGAAATTCATCTATTTAAACTTTCAGCCCAGGACACACTTTGAGACGAGGTCTTCTGCACCCATGAGCTCTACGTTAGTACAGTAGTATCTTTTCCCAAGAACCATGCGAAGACAACCCAGAGAGCCAACCATCAGCCCACAGAGCTGCCAGCAGGATATTCTGGGGATGCTCAGATCAGCAGACAGCTTGTGCCACACTACAGCCTGCGCAGGCAGAAAATGGTCCGGAAGGACAATTCTGCCACCCAAGCAGCTGGCAGCGTGCAGATGATGCGCATGCAAGAGCGGTCATGCGTTAGTGGCTCTCAGCCACGTGCCCCTTGAAGACAAACACACAAAACCAACTCTTCTAACAGTTTTCTATGTCCGTACCAAAACTTGTTCAGAAGACATTACCCCTCTGGGCACGGGAACTGCTGTTCTAGCCCACAGTCGAGTTACCCCTGCTCAACAAGTGACGGCACGCCGGGGGAACCGCAGTTACTGCTCGCACGCTTGGCTCTTTGCTGGCAGCAAGTGCAAGGTTATTCAACTCAGCTCAATGCTCTCTGCTGCAAGCTAAATTTCTGTTGTCTTACCTTTGCTTGGATTAACACTACCCAAATGGTCAGTTACAATGACTCAGTTGATACGAGGTAACTTGATCGTACAAGTCCGGCCTTTTAAAAAACATTTAAGGCAACATCATGGCTTTTACTTGATTAAATGCCAGATCACAGACAACACTTTTCTTTGCATACTGAGAATGGGTTTTGCCATATACACTTACCTGTCACATTGCTGCATTATGGATATTTCCTTTATAATCTCTTGCAGGTCAGATTCCACAGGAACTTGTTTAATTGCAACAACTTGACCCGTTTCTTTATGAATGGCTTTGAACACACTGCCATAGGAACTGAGAAACAAAATATTAAAGAAACAATGAAGTCAGTAACATTTTAAAAATGTAAATGTTACAGTTTTGCTTTTTGCAAGTGCCTTTTTCCAGCATACAGCACCAGCTGGGCATCTGTAAGAACTACAGCTCTGGTCAGAGAGGTTTGCTTTTCTTGTCAGATATCATCTGTCTTATTTCCAGCTTCTTTACTTACAGCAGCCAGGCAGATTTACCGATCAGTTTTTTTCAAATGAACTGCTTAAGAAGGCAAACATGTCACCTGCTGCTCTGCCTTACCAAGCAGCACAATGCGACAGAAGTTGGTTTCCATCACGCGGATCTTCCGCAAGAGGTACCGGGGATGAACTACAGAACTCTCAAAGTTCCCACAGAGCCTCATCAACTCCAGACTGTCATTTTCCAACAATGTTTTAACCCCCTACTGCTGAGCCGTAAGCTGCTGTGTGGGTTAAGACCTCATACTCTGGGGAAACAAATTCTTTATTGTGTTACTGACCAACACTGTCACTCTGTCAGTACGTACCTCTGCGGTAACAGGTCATGACAAAAGTGAAAAATCAGAGAAAAAATCAGAACACACTCCCAGCACACAGATCTGTTCTTAGAGAAACACCCAGCAGGCACCTGGTAAGAGAACACATACCCTTCTCCAAGCTTCTCCAACACATCAAATACTTCCTCGGGTTGTTTTGTTAAACTGTCTTCATCTAACTTCTTCAGCTGCCTGTAAATGTAAGAAAAAAGAAATAATTACGTTTAATTTGATGGTAGTTTGGGCTTTGGGACAACAGAAGAATAAACAGCACCTCATAAACGTACGCCAGGCTTAGCATGACGTAAACTGATCATGAAGTAAGTTTATTTCACCTGACCAGGAGACCGAATATTATTAGCATCCAATACAAGAGAGGGCTGGGAATTACAGAGATCAGAATTTGATCAGGCACACAAATTGCCTTGGTGGAAACACGACTCAGGATCAGTAAGTTGGTGGTCCAACCTCAAGACAGCAGTGGAGGGCTGGGCAGCTGTTGACCATACCTGCTACAGCTCAGTGTCCTGAATGGAAGGACATGTACTGAAGCCACGCAAAAGGAACATCTTCCCTGATGCCTTAGAGTATGTGTGGAATACCTCTGTTGTGAGGACGGAGGCAATGCTGATCTCATTGGTACATTTTCAATGTCAAAAGTTCAGATCTTAACTCTGTGGGCCTGGACATACACTAGGAAAATTCTACCAGGGAAAAAAAAGGAGGAGGTGAAAGGAAACTGATCTGACCCTTTCAGGATCTTAGGATCATAGAATGGTTTGGGTTGGAAGGGACCTTAAAGATCATCCAGTTCCAACCCC